AAGCTCAAACACAGCAAGAAAAGCGATGCAAATAAGAAAGAAACAAAATTCCAAGAGTGAGAGAGTAATTTGGGTTTTAGAAAACAATTTGCATGAATCTTTAATTGCTTTTTTTATACTGACATGGAACCTGGTACAAAGAAAAAGGCATGGCTAAATCTCGGTTTTAAACATCTTTTTTTGATTTTTTTATTCATTTTCTTTTGTGGATTCTACTTCTCAATTTTGTTTGACGGTGTCTAGAACTGACCCCGAAACTAAACTCTTTCAAATCAAATTTGATAAACGCAATCAAAAAAGAAACAAAAAATCATGAGAATTGTTGTGTTATAGTTAAAAAGTGTTACTAGAATTCCGTCCTCAGTTAATGTTGTGCGGTAATCAGGCCCGACCCTAATATCAAACAGACGAAATTTAGATCCGCAGTCCAAATTGTATTATATAATTTAACGGCTCCAAATTAGATAGTATAGTGGTGAAATTCTTAAATTTGGAGCAAATAGATGGTAAGTTTTGACCTTTATTTAATATATATCAAAATATATGTTTCATCAAGATATCGATGCGGAAAAGACCGTTGATTTTTTATATTTTTGATACTTTTTAATGTTGCAATCTATTCTAAATCAATAATTCATATGACACATTGGTAAAATCAAACATTCATAGTAAGGCATAGACGAAGAACCAATAAATATTTTCTTCAATCCTAATATTATACAACATCATTCATTTACCTTCAAAAAAATCCTATGTCTAGGCATATATTAGGAATTGAAATGGCCAAACCTAACTAAACCGAAGTTTCTATAGACCAAGTTCTTCAACTCACCGAATTTACCAAAATGTGCCGATTTGGTTTTGAAAAAATACAAAAATTTCTATTCTTTTTTTTAATCGTCTGATATTATTAAACCAATAATAGTTCATGAAGCAAATACAAAAACCAATACCAAAACACAACATCGGCACCCAAAATCAAGGGACAAGATGTTACAAAGCTGCTTCCCGAGCCAAACAATCATGTAGCCACGCCGGACCTCCAAGAGCTAAATAACCATGAAATCTCCCATCCCGAGTAATATTCAAAACTGATTTTTTTGTTTTGTTTAGTTTGTCATAGATAATATCTTATGGAACCGGACCGAAATAAATCTCATCTAAACTAAACCAAACCTCGGACATTTATAAGTCCAAAATTGGTAGAATTTACCATTTTCTAATTTTTTACCAATTAGGTTAAATAGAAAATTGATGGAACTTATTCAATTCATTCCACTAATATTTTTGAAAGAATGAACAAATTTAGGAGAAAAACGTTTATTTACTATTTCTCAGAAGAATACATAATGAATTGAAGGAATTTTTTTTTTCTTATTCTAATTTATCACATTCTCAGATTATATTCCACCAATTCTACTAAAAACAACCATTGGGACCCAAATTTTATTTGGTTTAAATCAGCGGAATATTTTCCAAGTAGAAGAACTAACAAACCAGAACAACGGAATCGAATAGACTGATGGTACCGATTGTATCTAGTTAATAATTTTGAATTTCTGTAATGAATGATAATTCATTTTTTGTTAAATAGATTGATGTGTTGCGTTTTTAACGCATTCTAACCCACGTTTTCAATGTTTTATCGAGTCTTTTCTTTGGTTTTGTGGTATTTGCAGGTTATAATACGT